GATAGTTTATTTAGACTAATATGCTGTCACAGAGCTAGAGAGGGCTCAATTTGACTTCAAAGTCTATTATTTAGGCCTTCAGGATGAGGGTTAGTGGCGTGTGGCCTAATGTGTGAGAAAAAGATGAAATATGAACCATCTTAGTAAAATATTTAGACCCTATCCTGTGAACATAGTTTGCATGCCAGCCTTTCCTGTTGAGATGGGCAGATCCATACCAGTATATTGATCCTGAATATCAACTAGTATAGAAAAGTACCTACTCTCATGCAAGAATAACTCAAAATATAACTTTTTATATCAAATTTTAATATTCTTCAAGTACATGTGTCATTGTCATTTCTTCTTTATTTTTGTGTGTCCATTTTCAGAAGTGGCAGTGTGTGGAGGACCCAACTGGTAAGCTGAGGCTGTATAAGTGTAAAGGCATGGCCAGTCTCTATGCCCCACGTATGCAGGCTCTGATGGCCAGCGGTGGCTCTAAGCTGTCTCCAACGTCCAACTTTGCCAACTGTAATTGTGCTGACTTACCGTTGAAAACATCCATCCTAAAGAGAAAGAGACTTCTCACCAAGAAGAGTAAGTTCATCCTGTCACTCACTTGCTTCAGTAGTTAATAACAGATTTCATTTTGTTCAGAATGACACTTGTACTTCACTTTAAAATGTCCTTGCAGTAGCCCACAAAGCGGTACCAAAACAGGCCATTAATCTGAAGCCTGAAAATTTGCTCATAAATTCAGTCTATGAGAGTGGTGTATCTCTGCTGCCATCAAGTGGTCAAATAAAATATAGCTCAGGTGTTTTGAAACTGTAATGTAATAGTTGTTGTTGTATACAGTAACATAAGTTGTATTTTACTAAAATGTGCATCTGTTATAATCATGTAGAGATGAAGTCCACTAAAACAGTGATGAGGAAGCGCTGGGCTCGCTCAGTGTCCTTTGAGCTGGATGGAGATCTGTATGCTGTGGATTTAGAGGAGGGCTATCGGCCACTGGGCACCAAGAACAGCAGCTGGGTCAAAGATAAGAAGAACAGACTCCAGTACGAGGAGGACAATGATGAATTCAGTGGAATGGAAGTCACAGCCAAGCCTACTACCAGCAACAAACTAACGCCCCCTACTGCTCTAAAGGTCACCTACAGGTGTGTGCTGGCCCTGTGCTCATGAAACCTGTACCACAGGTCCATTCTCTTATACTGTTGATGTGTAAACTCTGAACACTATTAATCCTGCAGGTGTTCTATCCTGATGAATGACACAGTCAAGTGTGATGGGGGTCTCTACAAATCCCTCCAAGCCTGGAAGGACCATAAACTACACATTGAACATGAGGTAGTCTTTTCAGTTTCCTTTTGTGTGGATTCAGAAAGAGATCTTGACTTGATTTTAAATGTGTAATCTTCAGTCAACAAGACAGAAGTAGTACCCACTTTGCCCTGCTGTAGTTATGTAACTTTATTATTTACTTACACTGAAAGCCGAGTAGTTAACTTTTAGTGTCATTATAAATATGCATTTTAAGTATGTGCTATGTTAAGCATACTTTAATTAAGGGATGTATAATATATTCTATTACTTATTCACACTTTTGATTAGATTGAAACTTTACAAAGTAAAATTAAGAATCTGCGTGAGGTCAAAGGTCATTTGAAAAAGGTGCGACCAGAGGAATGTCAGTGTAACACTCCAAGGTAAGCCACAAACACATGCTTATATATATCATGTGAAATTCTACTGATCATTTTATTTTTTTCTTTTACAGTTATCTTTTTAAAAGTAAAGAAATTTTCAAACTAAACACAGAACATATTGACTCTCTGGGGTAAATTTTCTATATATTAATACAGAAATAAAAAAAATAATAAAATGCTTTTTCCTGTGATTAAATGTGTTATTGGGTTTATGCAGAATTCCATCATCAAAGCAGAAAGGACAGTGGCTGGCCAAGGAGCAAAAGCGCAGAAAGAAACTTCGTAAATTTCTCAAGCGCCTCCAGAATAATGACACCTGCAGCATGCCAGGACTTACATGTTTCACTCATGACAATCACCATTGGCAGACTGCCCCCTTTTGGACAAGTAAGTAAACCACACTTAGAACAAGTTAATTAAAGAATAATTCCACTGCACTAAAACCGAATACTGGAGCATGATGTGTTTGTTTTTTTATCTCTTGTTTCCACATTTCCTGTTCTCTCTTAGTGGGCCCATTCTGTGCATGCACCAGCGCCAATAACAACACCTACTGGTGCCTGAGGACCATCAATGATACACACAACTTCCTCTTCTGTGAATTTGCCACTGGTTTCCTAGAGTATTTTGACATCAACACTGACCCTTACCAGGTATTTACTTTGTCAGCTTTTGAAATTGTTTCAACATACAAAAAGTATTTGTTCTAAAATCCATTGTTTTTTGCGTCTTTTGTTTATGTATCCTGTCTTTTTTATTTTTGTAGCTGATAAACGGTGTCAGCAGTCTAGACCGCAACACTTTAAATTCATTGCATCAACAGCTCATGGAGTTGAGGGGTTGTAAGGGACATAAGCAATGCAATCCAGAAAAAGGTACAGCTGAAATAAAATAAAATGGTTAAAAGGCACAATGCTGATTGTTTTCAAAATACACAATGCCGTATTTACTTCCTTCATTTCAGGAGGCAAAGAGCGAAACTACTTCAGTGAATACAGGTATACTTTCCTTTTAACTTGACAGATTACTTTATGATCTCCACAGAAGGAATTCATCCTGCCATGAATTTTAAAAGTGTCAGCCTTCTGAGTGTCTTAAGTTATGTTCATTTCAAATCACCTCGATGGCAAAGGGAATAAGGGTCATGTACATTGTGTTACATTTGTGATCAAAGCTCTTTGGCATGCAGAAGCGGAAGTCACTGGAGCCTAAAATTCAAGTCTGCTGCCCCCTTTTTAACACATTGCTTCTTTTTGTAACAAAGGCTAATTGCTTGTCTCTGTTGTGTGTGTCTGGGTTGGGTGTGTGTCTGTGTGTTTTGTGTGTGTATATATCTGTGTGTGTCTCCATGCACATGCGTCTCCCCTGCGTGTGTATTCGCTGTGCATGCCTCAGGCCAGTTCATCGTCGAAAGAGGCCAAAAGTGAAGAAGCCTTCCTCCAAATCGCTGTGAGTGGGTCATAACCCATCTGTCCCTTTATAGTCCGCCAAGCTTAAATTCCATGTTTATTTATTTATCTTTATCAAACCTTTTTTCTGTAGTACTGTAGTTCTCTTCTTTTGTGCCTTATAAGTAAGTACCTGCATTGCAAATTTTAATTTTCCATTTGACATTGTCACGTCTTAAAAACAGTCTTGCAATGCAGATGTTAATTTACGTCTGTCCTGTTATTGTCCTATTATTCTTAACAGCCTTATTAGGCACATGCCACATCTGGAGTCATGGTTTCCAGTAAATGTATTTAACACTTTGTACTTTTTGTTGTGCAGAGGGCAGATTTGGGAAGGATGGGTCGGTTAACTACTCCTCGTAAATTCAACCACCTACCACGATGACCTCCTGCTCTTCAGGGAGAAGAACATGAGTACAAGAGAATCCCAAGGACCTTGACCGTAGATGATGACCATCATGACCATGATGGTCCATGAACTTTTTCACCTCTCTGGGTTTTATCTGTAGATTTTTAAAACCCTATTCTAAGAGAAAGGTGATCATAGAGCTGAAAGAACAAGAAGACCCACCATTTGACAAAAGTGTATTGGGACACATTAAACGTATTTTAATGTTTTGTTCTGTCAGCTGTCAGAACCTTTGCTGCCATAAGTGTAATTGGGTTGGGACTGTCTGGTGTGCACAATGCATTCAGTTTCACTGTACTACTTGTAGATACATGATTCTATATCTGCTTTACATAGCTTTCTTCTTCATCAAGAGAAACTGTATAAAATGATATTCAACCCTGCTGCTACAAAACATCATAGACAACACAGTGTATCAGTGACTCATACTATGTAGACAGACACTGCATATGACCAACTGTGACTGATGTTTTGCCATAGACTTTTGTAATATAATTCTAACACAGATGAATGTCCTGTTTAAACATCTCCTAAGCTGTGTGGTGTAGATGGCCTTTATCCATCTTCATAGTGAGTTCCATATGATCATGCTTAAACTAGAAATCAATTTAGCACAATGGTAGATATCCCGAACATTGCATCAGTGAATGCTACTAACCTTTTTTCTATTGTTTGTCACTGTAGACACTCCTATAGGTTGCTCAGCTTGCTATACATGGTGCTACCAGGTGAAACACTGAAGAAAATCTCGATGTACAGTTCAGGATGTATTTGAATGTATGTTGTGCAATGAATATTGATGTTTACAATACTTTTGTAATAGCCTACTGAAATGGCTGACCTCATTGTGTTATGAGTTGAGAAAATTATGGACAAATGTAGCTTGAGAGATTCCATTGCTTGCAACTCATATGTTGTTGTTTTTTTTCATTATTTACACATGAAAAGCACTTAAGGGTTCACTGTGAAGAGATGTATGTATATATAACTGAGATTAGGTTACTGTGTTCCAGTGGAACAGCACAACAATGTAAAACATAGACTATTGCTGTGAATTTTAGCTCTACGCCTTTGTTAGTGTTTGATTTTTTAGCTAATATTTCCATAGATAAATGTGAATAAACATCTTGACCACCTTTTCTGGAACGTCTGAAAATTACTTTGTATTCCAGCAGGTGTCGCTATCACCTAGTTAAAAATTAATTAATCTCTACAAGTGGTATAATAAAAACAACAGAGCAGGAATAGAGTTTACTTTTTTAATCTAGCCTATATTATATAACATTTTGTTGCGTTGTCCATTGTTAGTTAGTTATGTCTTTTTAAATTAATGAATTAAAATTACTTAGTCTGCCCATGAATTATCTAATCTAGTCTAGTCGAATCAGTTAAAAAATGATGTGAAACTGTCCACTGTAGTGAGTCAGAATCTGTTTTGGTTTTGCCTGCTTCACACAGTCGGGGCCCGGGGGCTGGAGGAGGTGCAGACGGTGACCCCGGGTATGACTCAGTGCGGAGGCGGAGACTCCATTGGATCCACCGCCGTTGGATTTTGTCCTCACAACGCTGTCTGCACGGACATCTCTGACAAGTTTCCTATTCAAGACTACAGAAATCTATTTTCTTCTTGTTTACGACTTGTTTAAAATGTGAAGAAATGGCCGGTACAAGGTAAGAAACGTTCAGACGATTTAAACTATCCAAAACTAACCGAGTAGTTTGTTAGTTGGAGTGTCGGGCTCAATCCAGCAAGTTGCTCTCCGCCTGGATACTGAAAGCACCCGGTTTACGTGCGCCACACTGTCCGACTCCAAAGCCTGGGATTTCAAAAACTGGTTGTCTTACGCAGTGTTTTTTAAAATAACACTCAAAAGTGATAAAGTTTTCGTGGCCGCTTAAAAGATTAATCCGAACTGTTAACTCAATATTGCTGGCACGTGTATTAAGCTACTCATGTTAGTCAAGGTATGTTGTCCCCTGAACTTTGAACATATTTTACGTTTCTTTACTTTAATTGACTTATTTCCCTTGTCATAAAATTGTCCACATTGTTATTTTAATTACCAATCAAACTTTGCTAAGTTAATGTGCTTGATCAAACATACTCTTTACTGTGGTAAAGTAAAGTAGCTAGCTACAGGAAGACATGTGTTACTCTTATTTGAATCTGGTGAAAAGTGGCTGGATAATCGCTCTGGTGGTTTCATCTTTTACGTCGTCTTTGCTTAGAATCCATCCAGTCTGCATTAAAACTTTATTTTGTTGTTAAGTCAAACAGATGTTCATACAATTTAGACCGACACAGATAGAGTAGGCTGGTCATAGTAGCTTCCAGTTGTTTTATATGGGACATTGCTTTGCTCATATCTGGCCTCTTTATCTTTTTATTGTTAAATGCTGTGGTATGTACTTATAAAGATGAAAGAAATTATCGAGAAACCATTATATTTGCAAAGTGTGACAAGTTATTCTTACTTGGTTCTACTTGAACAGTACTAAGTTTCAACAAAACTTTAATTAATGTACCACTTCTTTGAATTTGTGTTCCCATAGGTCCCAACTTGTTCTGTTGTGTCCCATATTGACTTTTTATGATGTATTATATAATCCACGTGTTAATATTAAACTTACAACTTACAACTTTCGCCCATTTGGAGTAATACAGATAAAGCAATGTCCAAAAGGTTTAGACTGTTTATTCACTGTTTATTTATCTTGTCATGTCTTTACCTGTGAGAGTTGTGTGTCTCTCTTGCACTCATCTCTCATCTGGTTCATTTTTGTGGCTCACCGCACTGACAGTGAGTGTATTTGAGACAAACATCCTTAACCACATTAGCCACCTTACACTTCATGGTTTTATTATAACTTCATTTGGTGTAGGGATCAAAGCCCGTGCCTTCTACTGGTAGGTTGAACTTAAGCCAAATCCTCCCACTCAGTTCCAATGTAAAATGAAAGCTCATTCACAGGGTAAAATGGATACTGTTTATCCACTTTAAGACACAGGTAACTTCTTTTCCTTACATAATTTGCCAATTCTGGTAATGATAATGGTAAGGCATTTGAATTTGATCAAATAATGTCATGTAACATTATTACAAAACATTCCAAAATACATCATTATATATTCATTTCTTTTTTCAGTTCTACATCCCAAAAAGATTAATCCTTTCCTATACTCTCATGACCCCCGGTACTGTTCCCTTTATAATCCATTTCCCCCTCCCTAATAGGGCCACCCAGACCAGACCTACTGTTAACCTCTTACAATCCCTTCCCCACCTAATCCTGGAGGGCTGTGCGTCTGCACCTTCACTTCCTCCTGGTAGCTGTTTACCTGCTAAACACCTAGATTAGATTTAGAATCATTTTGGTGAATTGTTTTGATAAGTACTTTTGTAAAACTTGTGACTGTAGTGAAGAAAGTTGTGGTGGTCTTAGGACAGTTCTTTCCTGTGTGGCTCCTCCTTGGCCTGGCTCTGACCCCCTCATCTAACCCTGTTACTCTGCACTGGGATTAGGCTCACCCTAGTTTGTCATGTCAGCAGGGACCCGGGGGATGGTGCCCTGTCAGCCCATTCAGTCATTAAACCCAAAATTCTTCAACTCACATCAGTTAGTGAAGACAGTTTAGAGCAGTGATAATGTCTTAATTATTTTATTAAAGATAAGGCCAATTGTGTTGGAATCAGAGTTGACATATTTTCACTCATGTTTACAGGTAACCGAGGAGGAGGTGAGAGGTGTAATTTGCTCATTTAATATATTAAACCCTTGCTTATTGCAGGTCATATGATTAAGCAGTTGGGGCATGCTTTACAGCTTGCTAGTTAGAGCGTTAGAGCTTTTCATACTGAAGTCTTGGAGCATATTAATGATCATGCTATAATAATATCAAATATATATCAATAATATCTATAATTGAAGATTACATGATAGGATAACTAAATAGATTGATTCATATGTGTTATTTGGACAAGTGACCCCATTGTTCACTCGCTGACAGCTGGTGCAGACCTACCCTGTGTGCTCACGCTGATCATGCAGCACATGTTCCCCCTCGTCTCTGACCTGAAGAGTCCCCCCATGTTGTACAAGTAAGGAAAAAAGGGGTGGATTTGGGAGAAAGAACAGGGACTCGTGTTCTATTTAAGGCAGTTTATTAGTCTGGCCAACGAGTGACAGATAATGACTGTTCACCAGAGCAGAGTAAAGAAGAGAGGCCGGAAGTTCCCAGCATTCTGTGGGAGAAGACCAGGCCACCAGAGGAGACAATGCCCCCTTTACAAGAATCACAGAGTGCCACTTTCCTCTGTGGATAATTTGTAGGAGGATTATACTGCAAGAAGCTTTGAAGTTGTTTTCAATACAGGCATGATGTTCTTCTTGAAGCACCATTGAGGTAGGCACTAAGCTGCATTCAGGCTGAACAGTTTGGCAGTTTGCAGACTTCACTGTGGCCATGTCAAATTACCCTTTGGGAAGCAGCATGGGAAATGGTGGCTGTGCTTATGGTGCCTCCACAAGCTTGTGAGATCCGCTTTAATCCAGTGTCAGAGAGAGGGGAACTGTCTCTAGTTGTGGATTAGAGCAGCTGTTGAAGCAGGTCACCCCAGACCTCATGTACATGTCCAAAAGCCTTCTCTACAAGTCCTCTGATTGGTTAAGAGAGTGCTCATTCAATGAAGTCTGCCTGTTGATCTAACAATAGTTTGTATTGTCGTATGGAATCACATAAATAAAGAGAAGGCTGCATTTCACTGGCATTGTAATGCATATGGCATTCCTTGAGTTAGGTAACCAATTCTAACTTTCTGAGAAAGACTTCACACAGCTCAAATAGATTCCTCTCATATCCTAATTTAAATGTGGTGATTTTTGCTTATATTTTGCTGCATGTTTGGCTGTAGAATCTAAAGCGTGGGACAATCACACACAGCTGTTTTTTGTCACACTTAGGAGAACATGTAATTGTTTGATTGTTGCACTTGGAATTGTTTGTTGGAATGTGGGGCAGACACGAAGACCACAATTTAATTTAAGGACTGTGCTAACACTACATCTCGCTCTGTAGGATACAATAGTCAGTGAGCTAAGAGCTAAAAGAACATCCATTCTACAGATGGGCATCACCACACCCAGTATCGACAGCTTGTTAGTGTTTTATCCCTCCTTTCTGGAACTGAATACGGTGACTCTGCAGTTCAGAAGTGCACCTTGTAGGTCTGCCTTATTCTTCTTTCCACGGGCCGCTCTCTTCTATGTGTCTGTGTCCCTGCTGTCGGTCCCTTCTCTGATGACTCTTTGGCACCCCAGCTTTTCCTCGCTGTCTCTGGGTGAACTCGCATGTGTCAAACTCTCTCATACCTGACGACTCTTGTCATGAAAGATGACTCCCGAACTGGTGTGCCCATGTCGGAATATGATGAGTGAGGAATGCACAACTGCAGCTAAGAGACAACTTTAATATTAGTTATGGTTATATGGACATTTTAAATGTACTTTTACAATGTCTTTGGATAACATTAATCTTGATGCTAAACTGAACAACTTTGCATATTGTTGCTTTGAGAGGCACATGCATTACATGGAGAGCCAGACATCATTTGCATTGATGTAAATAATATAATATAAACTTCTCATTGTCATAAAATATAAGTAATATACTCTGAGGGTACGCAAGCAATTACAAGGGGATACTTGGAATGATTTGGGCTTTTATAAGAAGGTAAGCTTGAGTAGAATTTATAAAAATGTTATTTGTAGTACATTCTATATCCTTATAATATGGCATTAAGTTTGATATAAAAGAAAACCATAGTTATTTGTGCTGTGTTTAAAAGTGAAAAAAAAAAAGCTCAGGAGGTACTTGGGAACCAGTGCTCTACATTCACACAAACTTTATAGTTAAATTGAGTGTTGACACACACGGGGACCAATTGTGCGTTGGACTGACCCCTGACCCTTGTGACGAGACAGAAACGGGAGGTGTTAAACAAAAGAGCCAAAAGAATGTGCACAGGACAGGTGCAGGGCTTTTTCTGTCATCTCAACATGTGCATAGGATTGTTCACGAACCTGTTGGAGTGTGCAGGACGATGTAGACCACCATCCAATGAAAACAACAGTATCCTGGCAGAGCGTCACTCCAGAGTGCCGGGGTTCATTTTGAGGTCTTTATTATGTACGTGTATGTGAAAGGTGTTAGACTTTAGAGTTGTGATAATGTTTATTATTTTAACAATTATATAGCATAACCTGTCACAAGATTGGCTTATTTATTTGGCTGTGAATAGTTGTCGGGTTAGTTTCCATTTCTCATGCTACATCAGCTGTCCTTTTCATTTCATTAAGCAGATTGCTTGCTTTAATGTCATGATCCCCCTTAGTCACAGCTACTAGCTCTTCACTGCTGTGGCGTTTAACCATATTTAGATAAAACAGGGTTTCCTAGCTAGCAAGGGGTATGGACGTCATTAACGTATAATCAAACAACAGTTTGCCTTGGCCTATTGCAAGATGCAGGCTGCAGCTTGTATGCTCTTGTTACGATTGATTTCTCTGTTGGTCTATTTGAATAGTTTTGAACCTGTTGGAGCCATCAGTTTTCAGTGCTGTATGACTGCTAGAAAATGGCTGCTCTGTATATCCAGCGGTTAGGGCGGCTCAGGGCTGGCACTTGTTGCCCTGCCTGTGAACAGTGCACTAAGGTTTCACAGATGAATGGCAGGCTCTGTGAGAATGTACACCACAAGGGACAGTTGCGGGCAGCAGCTCAGAATAGGCTGTTGTTGAAGAAGGTTAGAGGTTACCATACAAGAGAAGGCAGTGGAAAAGGGCACCACAGCTGGTTCTCAGAGTTTGGCTTCACTCTCACCTGGGTTTGAGTTGTGATGGTGGTGCTTTTTAACTTTTTGTTGAAGAAAAACTATATTGCCGATCAATCTCCAGCACCACCACCGCCACCCATTTCTCTTTACTTACTTTATTCAATTTAATTTTGTTAGTCTGTGATACACGTAGGATTTAGCAGTGTCGTAGTAATTTTGGTACATTATCCTGTTTGGCACTTTGTTGCTCTTGCGATTGACTCCATATTCACCCCTATAACTAGCTTCAGCCAAATGAAGCTCATCGAGGCCGGCAAGTGCAATAGGAGTCATCACACTCCCCTTGTCCACTCCTTTATACAGTCTTTCAAGGTGATAACATTCTTTTCTTTTTCTAAAATCCACATCCAAAATCTCTTGTCTCAGTTTGTGGCAGTCTACTTTTTACAATAAAAACACAGATACAATTTCACAGCTGCACTAGTATTACACCATTTAGTGGTAATGGCAGATAAAAGAAATGCCCCAACACCAACCAAGCATGCGTCTTTATTACAGCCATTACTACTATCTCACTCTAGTGCTATGGTTTACGTACAGATCTACTCTACACAGATCACAATCTTGTTTTCTCTGTCAGTTTAACTTTGTAATGAAATCCTCTGCCTCCCTGGTGTCTGTTTGCGATCCCCAAGGCACACAGTGATACAAGTCCGTATGTTTCCACTGAATCCATTGTCCAGACCTGTGTTTACCGTTGCCGGGAAAAGTGCCATTTACAATTTGGCTTTGGGTTGAAACAATGGAGCAGATTCCATGAGCTATATTCTGTTGTTTCCATCGCTCAGGGAAACTGTTCTCACTTGACAGTTATTTTTGGGGCCAACTGTAAAATGTTCTTGAGTGGCGAAGCATTTATTCTTATCAGGTACATTTAGAAGTCACACAACTGCACTTTGTATTGTATAGGACTTTCTTGGGGCCTCATGCTGACATTTTTTTCTTGATAATTTGTCAAGCTTTATTTCCAGTCACACTATATTAACACTGACCCAATCGAATTCTTAACCCCAAAAGGGAACAAAGCACTTCTCTGTCACAACAGTAGAGTCAAATTCAACTTTGTTTCTTGAGCTTTGCCATCTATGAAACAAGTCTGTACTTGCACAGAGTGAGTAAATAAGTTCATTTTATATCAATACAAAATTTGAAACTTTGCCAAGGTGCTGCACTCAACATTCCAAACCATTTATGAACATTTGCGAGGCAGACTTGACTGAGGTGTCTATAGCACCACTATTGTCCACTAAAGAGTTTTGTCTTAAATTCATATCTTGGACTATTTTTACATTTTCAGCATTGTATAGTATAGTTGCAATATAGGCTGTATTGTCTCTAAAGTGTACTTTCCAACAGGATATACAAGTGTATTATTTTTCTACTTTTCACACAATTTAAATTTATATATGTTTTATTCATGTTGAATGTATTTATCTCATTAAATTCAGCTGAACTCTCAGTTTTGGAATAAAAATTATTGATGAAAAATAAGTTGCTATTCAGTATAGTATCTAGCCCAATATTTGTTTTTATTTATGGACAGAAATGTTAGTTATTCGACCAAAATATTTTATTATTCGTCTTTCATGTTTCAGTACAGCAAAAAAGTGATGTTCCACGAATGCCCAGTGCTCACCAGTCTTCTTCCTGCCTATCTGGTTGTGTCAACACAGCTCAGCAGGCCAGCTCTCAGCTCTAAAAGTTGTTTATTTGCCTAGAGGGACGAGTTCTTACGCAATCAGAGCACCCCATCCACCCAAACCCACCAGCCATGGCCTTTGCAGCTGACCCTCAAAACCCGCCTTCCTGTCGGGTTGTTCAGTATTGCCAGTCGCGCTCAGTTAAAATGTTAAGTGGGTTTCCTTGGTGTCATCACTATGGAGGAATTTGGTTGAAAAACACAATGCCTTCTTTTGAGACTAAAGGTTGTAGCTCACAGAAAACTGCGCATTACTGCTATATACTGATCATATAGCTTGCAATAGCTTAACGATAAGGAATGCAAGCAACACTGATCCATTTCTAAATGCGGGAATGCCTCCTCTCTGAAAGCTAAAAGGATAAAGGCGCTGGTATGTGCAGGGTGGTACTGACTGTTTGGCCTCAGCCTACAATGCGGCTTTCTTTGCAAAAGCTTCCCGCCCTTCAAGTGTTGCAAATCTAATCACTCCGGGAGACATCTTCTGACATGGCCCTGCGTCTTATCAATATATTTACATGGAGGCTCAGGGTTTAACTTAGAATTTGCTTGATGGATAATTCACAGCTGGGGTAACTCTAAATATCATTTCAGCTTTGACAAAGTAGCACAGAGATCTTCTGTATTCTTGCTGTTATTTGTGTTCTTGTATTAATCGATGTGTCTTGGACTTTGCCGTAGTAAGCTGTTACATTTTAATTTTTTAACATTTTAATATTAGCACAGAAGCATATTTGCATACTGTTGCTGCATTGTAATACCAAAACATTATAAGACTTGTAAAGACTGAGGAAGCTGTTCTAACTCTTATCTTTCTCTTGGTGTGGGATAAAGTGTAGTCAAGTGAACCGGGTGTGAGGGATCAGAGCAGATGGCCTCCCAGCATACAACACTCTGACACATGGTTAGTTCTTGTGTGAACATCTCCTATGGCTTTTATTGTCCAAAAATGATACAGTGGAAAGGTGCTTGATTAAATTGGCTTTAATCTTTGTCTGCTCACTGTGTTTAGATATTATGTGTTTCGGCAATAGACATAGTTGGTGGCTCTTTTTGTTTTTTATTACCGGTGCATTTAAGTGTGTGATCTTTTAGCACCAGTATTTTACCTGTTACCTATTTGTTTAAACAGGCAGCAGCTGTTATTTACCGTAATCCTCTGAACTCTTGTTTATAGTGTGACACTGTAACCTGGGCACCAGACTGGCACCAAAGTTAGGTCTATTTTAGAAGCGGCCACTGCTTGAGTTAACACTTATACAAATGGGGTTTCACACCCTTTTATTGTCCTACAGGTTGGCCATAGCTGACTCCTAGCACATGAATACTAAATAAGTGTAAAATAGAAAATATATTTAATTAAATCTGATATTTTGTCTTAATGTTGAATCTACACATCAGTCAACTAGCTCAACAAATATGATTTATTTGTCATCTAAAAGAACCCATCACCTGACAAATAATTCTGATAAATGTCCAAACTAGACTGATAAGCCTATACATAATAATATTTTAGTATTCAGTCTTCCAAGCATTTAAATTCTGTTTGGATCTTCTCTATTCACATGGCCAAGACATGTGATTATTTTTCTTTTTATGTCTTCGAACCTTTCATCATAGCCCCTGTTACTCTGGCCCACTGGTGGACTCCCTCTTGTTGCTGTGGGTAGAGTGCTGAGTTGGCTGTTGCCACTCTGTAGTTAGGGCTCAATACTGTTTGCACTGGCTGCTCTGACAACACCGTATGCTTCTGTCCGTGCTCTGCTGACTCCAGGCCTGTTGTCCCACTGTGATGGTCCACCTGTCCTCATATTCTGGGACACTTACCCACCAGCATTTCATATTTAACAGAGATGATATCACTGCTAACAGAGCCTTTCTACAGATGGCAGCTCATAGGGGACACAAATATTGACACTGTAGCCATATGGGAAAGGGCAGAGATTTAAACTTCTTTATTTATCAAACTGTGTGAGTTGCTAACTGCATGTCGCCTTGCATTAGGATGTTATTGAAACCCGCTGTGTTTAGATTATAATGTAAACATGTTAAAATTAACAATATGCATTTCTGTTAAGATAAAGGATTATTATAGCATTATTACCAATGGGACTGTGTTTACTTAAGGCACCCATAAAAGCTATTGTTATTTTTTTGCTCTTTGTTCCTGCTATCAAATGATGTATTTATTTATACACATTTCTTGTATTTATTATGAATAGATCATAAGTTGTGGATAACATGTTCATAAATACTGGGTAAATGGACTTGCATTCTTTAGCTAGATTATTTGTGCCATTATTAATTCGCTGTTTGTATATCCATTCTTCAGCTCTGATTGGGTGGAGATCTTGGAGCCACGCTCTCGTGAGAGGATGTATGTGAACCTCATCACTGGTGAGTGTGGCTGGGAACCTCCTTCTGGAGTACCTGTCCGCCAGGCCGATGGGAACCAGTGGTGGGAGCTGTTTGACCCCAACAGTGGACGCTTTTACTATTACAACTCCACTGGTCGTCGTACTGTTTGGCACCGGCCTCAGGGGGCAGACATTGTGCCCCTGTCGCAGCTCCAGGCCATGAAGCGCAGCACAGAGGCCAAGAGAGCGGGAGGAGTTCTCCAGGGAGCCCCACATGGGACCACAGGCAGCATCAGCAGCATGGGCAGTCAGGACCGGAGCAATCCTCTATCAGAGGAGGAGATAGACACCCTAGCTAAAAGTCAAGACGCCCCCGAGGAGGCCACCCATCCTGAGCTTGACCCTTCAGTGGACAGCAGGTCACAAGGGGATGGCAGCAGTGTGGAGCTCAACACAGAGAGCAGCAAAGACACACAGAGGTAAGGTCTCCCTGCATGGGTTTTGTGTCAAATAAATACTATAAATGGACAGATATTACACTTGACTACATCTGACGTGTTCTCAACTCACTGTATCACAGAACCGCTTTTTGACACAATGGAGCTACACGAGTAGCAGGAGGAAAGGCCAATGGGGAAAATTAGCTACTGTTATCTGTTTGTTTTAATAACTTTCAAATGTTTTTGCTGAGATTTCTTTGAATGAGTTTGAATTGTGCCTGTTTAGAACAATCGCAGTGTGCTCCTGCATTTCAAATGTCTGTCTTATCTGTACATTTCCTTTTGTATGTTACGTTATTGCCATCTTTGAGCCATGCTCAAGCACTTATGTAAATGGATACCAAATGAGGAGAAAAAGCTGATCTGAAATGGAGAACACAACATTTGCCCTGTAGCTGCTGCTTCTGGTGCAAAACGACCTCCAACAGTAAGTCATTCAGTGATCCCATCATGTGTTTGGCGTTGCGGTCTGCTCCAAACTACAGTCTCTTCCCTCCAACTCAGATTCCAGACGTGCCACTGCTGTTTCCCCTGGCACATGTCCACTGAAGCTTAAAGTCCTTCTGTGTACTCACCGCGGCCTCCTCCGATTCAACGCTTATTTCATTTTCCTAAAACAAATTCAGGCTCCAGGCCATCCCAGAATGCAACGCCTCTCTCAGCAAAGAGCTTTAATGCCTGTTCATAAGAGCCATGTGAGAGAGAGTTTTGTCTGTTGTTAATAACAAGCAGAACTGCTACATTCCAGGGGGCTATAAACATGTAGAAGTTCTGGTGATGTGAGGAGCCTTTGCTGTGGTGACTTTGCTTCTCCAGTTTCTTTAAGCTGAACCTGGGACTCTTTGACCGTTAGGCTTGTCCTCTGACCTTTCAATCTTGTGGGACACACAAAGTCTTAAGGGGAACTAATTGGTCAGACATGGCTGTTGAATGACCGTACATGTGGCTGGTACTGTTACCTCTGCTATGTGCTGTGGATGTTCAGCTCCCTACTGAGACTCACCTCACCCCAGTGACTCAACCTTTCCCAGAACCCTTTCTCTGCGTTGAAAACAATAGCCAGCTGTATTCTTCAGCCATAGGGGCTTGATATCCCACTTAGCCATATGGTTCCTCACATGCTCACCAGTTTCCACCATCTCTTAGAGGTAATTAAAAACCAGCACAGAATACACACATTGACGATGGAATGTGACTGCTCAAAATGAGTGAAAACAAAGTGCTGTGCTGGACATAACCCCGTCGAGATAATTACTATATTGCCTTGTCATTCCATAAATGTAAGCTGGGAAACGTATTGTATCAGTAATATAAACAAATTTTGCTCTTATCGTTTTTTATATTTTCTGTAGCATATATTACACTTCAAAATCTGACAGCCTTGGGCAGACTTGTCTTCACTGCACTTCACTTCACTGGCACTATATTTATCATCAGAAGTGTTGATGTGGAAGTTGGGGTTGGGAGAGTAATGGTTGATTGAGGTTTACTAATTGCCTATAAAGTACTTATTCTGTCCACACATTTCATTGTCACTTTACTTGTTTCAACTTCCCCTATAATTTTTCCAGTAAGCATTTTTACTTGTGTTGACTTGCAAACAGAGATGAGAAGTCACTAACTTCTGACCTTTTTCAAAACAAACAATGCTGTTTTTCATTACATGGAGCTCTGAGTTCATCAAACAGGCTTTCCTTTTGTTCCCAGCTATAAATAACTGTGCTCATGCAGATAGAAGAGTTTCCACACAACACACCCTCTGTATCGTTCTGACCGAGAAAGTTAAGAGCTGCCTTTGACCCCTGAATTCATCATATGTGCTCATGCTTGTTGGGAATGAAAGCATGAGATCACACTTGTGCCAAAATCAGTTACTCATTGGCAGAGGCTTATCACATGTCCTGTGAGTTTTCAGGGACTTTGAGGAGCTCATCAGGGAAGTACCCAACTTACCTAGCATGTCATTCTTGTGTGGAGTGAATTTGATGACGGAAACACATGTTGTTTAAAGCTAGAGATGCAACAATACGATACTGAAAGATTACTAAACATTACTGAAGATTTGGTAGATTGGATATTGGTTCCACAGATTTCCCATTTTAGTGTATACATTGGTGTAATAAGACAATTTGCTGACCAATGTTAGCCCAAAGCATCTCATAATTAAAAAAATGTCAGAGCTGTAATTACTTTAAATGATGAATAACAGTTATAAAGCACATTTGGCTAATATTTTATGATCCTTTGTTTATTTTTTTAAGGAAATAAATTCTGTTTTCAGTCTCTGCCTTAGTATTGGTCAATATCAGATATCTGCAGATACTTAAAGCCGAAGTATTGGCATCGTATCAGAAGAGGAAAAGATTGTTTGGTGTGTCCTTTCTTAAAGCATGCATAAAATGAAAGACTGGAGTGTGGCAGCCTAATAGTGCAGCTGTCTAACTTTAATACTAGATAATACTCTGGTGGTTTGTCTTGGAGGTCTTTTAAAGTGTAGGAATTGACTCTCAAAGAAAAGATTTGGTTTTCTTAGTACTGACAGATCCAAACGTCTATATGTGGACAATTCAAAGTCTAAATTAGGGCTAAACCAGGTTAGAACAACCATCACTACAGTAGCTGGAACCAGGGACTTACCCAAAGGAGAACAAAAAGTTGGATAAAATTAACTCCAAATGACAAACCGTAAACCTCCAGAGGTTCTCACAAACTACCAGAATAATTCTATATGCCACTGTTTCAAAACCACCCGCTTAGAATACAGTCAGCTATACGGCTGCATTACAAAGCCGAGGGGTTCTGTTCTGCCTGCAATGTTTTGAGATCAGTTCCTGGCTCTGATAATTTTCTGAATGCCTTATCCCACTCTTCACCCCCAATCCCAGGCTGCTTATCTTGTCATTAAATCCTAGAGGACAATATCCAGTGTTGGGAAGGTGACTTTTAAAATGTATTCCCCTACAGATTACAGATTACATATCCCAAAATGTAGTTTGTAACAGAATCCATTAAATTACTTAAAGTGAGTAACGTAATCTGAATACTTTGGATTACTTCAGTTGCTGTAGAGAAACAAAGATGAGGAAATCTTCACATAAGAAGTTTTGTCTGCTAAAAGAAAATAAAAAGCCCAGACTTTACTTAACCGAATTATAGGTATTATTGATAGAAGACGAGGAGACATGGTCCATGCAGCATGGTTTAGTCCTGTTAAACCTGGTTTAGACCTGGTTTTAGTCCTAGTTTAGACCTGGTTTAGACCTGGTTTTAGTCCTTTTTAGACATGGTTTAGACCTGATTTGGACCTGGGTTTGGACCTCAGTTTAGACTTGGCTTTAGACCTGGTTTTAGAACTGGTTTATTGTCCGCCAGTGAGTGGAATTACCGAAAAAAAACAAAAAGGGATTATTATTTCAACAAAGTAACTGTAATCCAATTACCACTCACTGAAACAGTAACTGTAACCGAATACAGTTACTCATAATTTGTACTCTGATTACGTAACTCCGGTACATGTAATCTGTTACTCCCCAACACTGACAATATCCAAATTCAAATGAAAAGTGACATGTAATTTCTGTATTGTATATTTTACTTTGCCCAGCACAGATGACTGCTACCTTATCCCTTCTCCAATCGGCCTGGGGCAATCAGGAGTGGTTCACGTGAGGGTCACTGAGCTCTTTTGTCTTCTCAGTGCACCACTAAAAGGAACAAAGGCCTCGATTAAACCTTGTTGTGCCTCCAGGGGCAACTAAGAGCTTTCTCTACTGCAGGAAGTTTAGGGGTGTTGTTGAATTGGCCAGGACAGCAAATGATACCGAAAGACTTGTGTGTGCCTTCTCATTGAGACCTGTAATCATGTGGTGCAGCCAGGCTGACATTAGACACTTAAACCTCATCTTTCCTGATTACTGGCCTGTGTAAACTTTGCCCTTTACGCAGCATTGTTGGTTGGTATATCAAATTTTCTTGAGTAAAAGTACAAAGATCGGAACAAAAAATACTGAAGTAATATTAAAGTACCAGTTTTAAAATGTACTTAAAGAATAAAAAATAAAAGTATTTTGTGCATACTTTGAGGTCTTATAAGGCTTCAAGTGTAGTGCTTTTGATACAGATTTGTGCAGAATTTTGTTCAGCAGAAACAATTAATAGTTTTAGTTGTTTTTATTTGTATATTTTTGTTCAAATGTTAAAAATAACCCCTCTGCCTTTTCAACAGGTCTTAAACTATCATGAAAAATACTTTTACATTTCAGTCCTTGAAAAAAGTAGTGTAATAGAAAGTACAGATACCCTTCCTCAAATGTAGTAAATGTAGTAAAATAAAAAGTATCAACTGTAAAATGTTAAGTACAGTACCTCTACTACTTTTACTTCATTACATTACACCGCTTTTTGCACAATTACCTCTTCACATTAAAAACGAGACATTAAGAACAATGATTCACTTAAATAGATAAACAAATGCTCCATTCTTTCAGGGATATATATTTAGGGATTTTCACAACTTAAATTTAAGCAATTATGAAAGCTAAAAGAGCTCAAACACCTTTTCTTTGAGTAGCTTTACATGTATGAGTCAAGTCTTACAGTGTCATTAAAACGTTGGCATTTTACTGACACTACTACATTGTCTGCTCTAAACACCTTTTATGTTGTTACTCTGAAGATATCTGGCCCACCAATTAGATGGCCATGGAAAGAGTGGTTTTATCTCCTCAGACCCAGCGTGGTAAGCTCATTTTTAACTGCTTTCATATGGACTTTTACGGTGCTTTATAATAGATTTTCCCCTTCTCTTCCCCTTGAACTTGTGATCTAGTTATGTGCCTTAGTGCTTTGGTCTGTCTGTTTTTTTTTCTTTCTGGGTCTTATAAGGCAGAGCTCTGGGTCCTCTCCAGATCTAGATTACAGAGTCCCACTTTTATGTGCGTCTTTTGTTTGGATATCGTTTGGACACTGGCTGTCTTGCT